GGGGTTACACAGTTTGAACACACACCTATTAGCAGCCCTCAAGTGTCTGGCCAAAGAGTTGAGGTGCGCAGAGCTCCTGACCTGAAGCCCCTCCTCCAGAGCCCAGAGCTTGAGAACTGTAAAATGGCGGTGTCTGGGTCTGCTGGCAGGGAGGGAAGTGAGGGCCCCTGCCTGGGTGGCTTCCGCCTCTGGACAAGCCACCGTGTTCCTCTTCTGCAGAGGAACCACGCCAGGTGTGTTCACAGAAGTTATCTAAAGTGGTAAGTGTTCAACAAGCACATGTACGTGGACGGCTAACCCAGAGCAGGGATTCGACCCTGGACTCTGTCCCAGAGTGAAACAACGGTTTCCCACTGAGGGGCGGGTTGTGAGAACCACCTGGTGCTGGCCTTAGGCCAGCGCCCTCACCTGCGATATCTCTGGTTCTTGAGTTCCTTCACCCACAATGTCAGATGGGGAGGGTGCGTCTGAGGCCACATCTAGTCCGGCTCCCAACTGGCTCTCGACTTCACTGGGCAGAGTCCACTGAGGTGGAAGGGACGGGGGGAAGGAGGCAAGGGCCATCCTCATTTTGAAGGCAAATACCTCAGCGGGGGCTGCTGTCAGTGGAGGATCTCAACTATCCGAGAAGGACCAAGACTTGGCCAAAGTCACAGAGCAGGAAAGGGAAAAGGCCAGACCTGATCAGGTCCTCCCAACACTTTGGTCTCCAATATACTGCAGGTGAGGTAGTAGTGAGGTCTCCCAACTCTCAGGAACCTTGTCTTTGGGACATAGGTAGGCCCAATTGGGACACTGTGAGAATAAAGGAGGCTCTATTAATATACATGGACATGAAGCCAGGACTTCCAGCCACTGTACTCATAGCGCAGTCTCGGAATGGGAAGTGCCACTAGTGAGGGAAGTAGGCTCAGGGCAACACTAGAAGCAGGCAGCAAGGTTTCAGACTCAGGGGTTTTCTCGGCGTGGCGTCAACAGACCTCAATGTCAAGGGTGGGGCAGCAAGACCAAAGTCACTTCGTGGACGTTGAAGACCAGCAATTCTGGGCTGGGGTCCTGCCATTGCCACTTACCGCTGTGTGACTCCAGGAAAGTTACTGTAACTCTCTGAGCCTCAGCTGCCCCTCTGAAAAATGGAGTGACTGTAAACGCTCACGGATTGTCACGTTATATGATATAAGGCACGTGTTGAAAGACCACCCAGCACATAAAAAAATACTAACACAATTCTAGCTCATTACTATTATTTTTAAAATTTCCTTTTTTATTATCACTATTATTAGCAACAGCTCTAAGGACCCTTCTGGCTCCAAGAATTGATCTTTTATCAGCTGCAACTCTGGGAAAGAACGGTTTCCAGAAAAGCAGCCAAAGGTCACAGAGGCGGGAAACCTTGCTTGGATAGTGGTATCTGAGTGAAACCAGCTCAAATCTCCAGTTCCAACATCTGCCAACGAGAGCCTCTATGTAAACACTACGGTGATAAGACCAGTCATCACTTGCTATTTAAACTGACCTCCCACAATCCCTTGGGCTTGAAACTGCCAAGAGCTAAGTATAAACTGCATTTTGGCTTGCTCTGAGGATTACTCACATTCAAATACAAGAGATGCATCAGTCTGGTTGAACCAGGCTCTGCTGCCCTGTAACCTGGCTTCAGGCCAGCTCCCTGACACTTACCTTCTCCAGTAGGGGAGGCATTATCTTCCCCAGGATTGCTATTTCAACACTTAATAACCAATGTCAGGGAGAGAAGGGGCCTTGCAGAATGGCTGGCACAATGCGGGGAGTGGTGGATAAAAGCTGGTGGATAAAAGCAAGGGCCTTGGCAACGCACAGACTCAATTCGAATCCTAGCTTTACTAGCTATTGACTGTGTTAAGTTAATTAACCTCTCTGTGCCAGTTTCCCAATATGTAAAATGGGATTATAATAGTATCTACCTTATGGGGCTTTGTGGGGATCAGCACAGTCCCGGCCATATAGTAAACACTCAACCAATGTTCACTGCCATTATGATCATGATGATTACTATAGTAATTGGAATTGGCTACGGAAGCATGATAAAGGACCTATATTTTCCTGCCAGGAAAACTGCCAAAGGTGATACCTGAGCTGGAGCTGAAAGGATAGGTAGGATTTCTATCAGTAGAAACAGGGGATGGTGCAGGCAGCTTCAGTTTCCTTCATCTGCACATTCAGGCCATCCTCGTAACCACCCCTGTAGGATGGATTTAAAGCTGAGCTGCAGAAGAGCTGCACAGCTTTCCCCCAAGTTATAATGATAGAAAGCGAGAAAGCTGGAGTTTGAAGCCAGGTCTCTGATTCTAAAGGCCATGCTCTTAACACCTGTTGTATCTCCCATCTTTTTATCAAATTCTGTCCTGAAGGGTAAGGTACTGACAGAAATAGCTCCCCCTCCCTAGACTGTAAACCCCTTCCGGGAAGAGATAGCTCAATTATTTATAGAGCCCCCTCCCAGGCATGGACAGCAGGTGCTCAGCTGAAATGCCTGTTTGCTGAATAGAAGAGACTGAAGCCCGACTCTTCCGGGCTGAGGCCAAGCCTCCAGGGACCCCAGGCTACGCTGCCTTCTGGGCAGCTGGCCTCCTGGCCTCTCTTTCACAAATCCCCCCTCCACACCACACCACACCCCACCCCACCCACCCCAACAACCAGGGCAGAGAGCAGGGCTGCCATTCAGGGCAAACGGCTTGCTACTGACTTCACCCCACTGATCGAGTTGGACTTGAGCCCTCTTAATGTTTTCCTTGCCCCAAAGATAGATGACTTCGGGGCTGCCTGCCCAGCCCATATAACCACCTTCCACTGAGGGCCACCCACAGGCACGGAACCCCTAGAAACCTGTTCGCTGTGTGACTCCACCCCCCTGCCCGCCACAGATTGGACCAGGGTAGACACCTGACTCAAGCTGGCCAATCAGGTCTTCCCTCCTTCCAGGGTGGGCTAAGAGTCCCGATCCTTCCAATCTCCACTGTCCTTGCTACCTCTGGTTCTAGGAGCTACCCTGTAGTCTTCTAATAGTTTTTTCTTTTGCCTCATCGCCTCTGAAATGGGTTTTTATTCCTTGCAACCAAAATAGCCATAACAAAATCAAGAAGGAGGAAAACAACTTCCCCAGGCAGAATTAAGTACACCTTCCTCTGCTTTAAGCACCTTCATCTGCTCCTCTTTGTAATGACTGGCACTTCTGCCTCCTGCATGGGCTAGGTGCTTTTTCATTGATCCACATGATTGCAGGGATGAGGGATGGAGGGAGGTATTACTACACCATTCTACCCATAACAGAAGCTCTGAGAGGCTAAGCCATATGTCCAACGACACAGCTAGGAAGAAGCAGAGTAGGGATTGGAACCCAGGTCTTCTTCCCTTTATCCACCCCCCGCCCCTGGAACTTCAGTTAGTTCCTAACTTTGCCCATGTGTTTGTCTCCCACCTCAATTCTTTTTTATTTTATTTTTTTTAAAGATTTATTTATTTGAGAGCGCGCGTGCACACACAGCAGGGAGGGGCGGGGGGGGGCGGAGAGAGAGTCTGAAGCCGACTCCATGCTGAGTGCAGAGCCCAACGCGGGTCTGATGTCACAACGCTGAGATCAGGACCTCAGCCGAAACCAAGAGTCAGAAGCTTAACCCACTGTGCCCCCCAGGCGCCTCCTCCCACCTCAGTTCTTCTTGTTGGTAGAGTCACCATGATTGATTTATCTCTGCTCTGGCACGAAGGTATTTCTGTAATAAGTAACTGAGTTAATTTGTAATTAAAATGGAAACTTACTAGAAGCCTCATCTGGGAGAGTGTTCTGTGTTTTCTTAGATTCTGTTTTTGTCTATTTGGCATCCATTCATCACAGAACCAACTGTATTAACTGTATTTTCTTATGTTCTGTATGCTTGATGCTCTGGCATGTGTGGCCTCGCTCACCAGGCACCAGACCCCCTCTGCCAGGCCAGCCAATTCTTAGAAATAGCAAAGGAGCATGCGCAGCAGCACTGTTTACAGTCACCCCAGCTTAGAAACAACCTGAACAGCCAGCAATAGGGAATCTGTCCAGAAAATTTTGATATGGCAACTCAACAGATTATTGGGCAATCATTCAAAAAGTATGCGTTAGGGGCACCTGGGGGGGCTCAGTCATTAAACATCTGCCTTCCGCTCAGGTCACGATCCCGGGATCCTGGGATTGAGCCCCACATCGGGCTCCCTGTTCCGCGGGAAGCCTGCTTCTCCCTCTGCCCCTCCCCCTGCTTGTGTTCCCCTCTCTCGCTGTCTCTCTCTCTCTGTCAAATAAATAAAATTTTTTTTTTTTTTAAAGTATGCGTGGGGTGCCTGGGTGGCTCAGTCGGTTAAGCGACTGCCTTCGGCTCAGGTCATGATCCTGGAGTCCTGGGATCGAGTCCCGCATCAGGCTCCCTGCTCAGCAGGGAGTCTGCTTCTCCCTCTGAGCCTCTTCCCTCTCGTGCTCTCTATCTCTCATTCTCTCTCTCTCAAATAAATAAATAAAGTCTTTAAAAAAAATTAAAAAAAGTATGCGTTAAATCACCACATGGGGAAATACCCCACACACAGGCTTAAGTGAAACAACCAAGATGCAAAACTTTCTGTACAATCTGGTCCCAAATGTGTAACACCAAAAAAAAGACAGGAAGGAAATATCCTGAAATATGAACAAAGCTTGTCTCCAAGTAACAGAGTAGGTGATTTAAACAACAACAACAACAGATCTTCCAAGTGGGAAAGCATCCTTTTAAAAATATTTCTCTACCTTGCAATTTTTATGTCTTTCTCTAACCCCCTATTTTTATGTATTTCCATGAGCGTGTCTTTCCTCTGGATTACACGTTCTCCTACGGGGGGGGGAGCGCTGCCCGTTTCTGCCAGTGACAGGCACACAGCCCCTGGACACATCTGTTAGCCAGCGCTATGCTGTGTTACTCTCTTGTTAGAAAAACACAACAGTTCAAAACCACAAAAGCTCTTGCCTTGTAGGAGAAGGAAAGCTCGCTGAGCGGGTCGGCGCTGCTTGTGGGCGGCAGCTGGTGCAGCTGCAGGGCTGCGCTGTGGGCTCGGTCCATGGTGCTCTAGAGGCACATCCCTGGCCCTGGGCGGGGAGCTGTTGCTACGCGGGGCCAAAACCGGAGACCATCTTCCCTGGCGGTGTTCACCTCCTCCCACCAGCCATCGGAGGACTTCAAGGCTCTTTTGGCTGGCTGACAGCTTCTCCCTCACCTCCACGCAGAGAAGTGCCAAGTTCTGTCTCTCCCAAGCAGACGGACAAGGGTGCAATTCCTTATCCTGGTGGTGCTCTAGGGGGGTGGGGAGGAGCATTAAAAAAAAGGCATGTACAATGTGACACAGAGCCCATCTTTGTTACCCGAGGAGGGAATACTATGAGGACAAAAAACAACCTATCATGAGAAGTGAAGCCCTTAAAAAAATTGTATCATGCCTTTGGCTCCCTTAATAAAGATGTGGCTCATCTACCTCAGAACCTTTCCTCCCCCCCGCCCCCCCCATAAAACTCACCTTTTCTCTTCCCCCCTGTTTCTTTCCTCCCATCACATCCTAATTTAAATCCTACCTTTTCCAGAGGCTCCCCTACACATAAGAGGTGGGATACTGCCCTTGTCTACCTCTGCGGGCCTCCAAAAAAATATCCTGCTGCCACAAAACAGGAACCATCTGTGTTCTTAGGGAAGAAAGAATGAGAAGAAAAGCTATCTCTGCGGGTGGTGGAAGAACTGAGCTGCTACCCAGGGTCAGTCGAGCACAGGTGAGGTAACAGTGGGTGCCGAGAGAAGACCCATGTAACCGGATCACATCAGCTCTGGGAGACTCAGGTGCCTCATCTGTAAAGTGGGGGTAATAATGTGGCCTCAAGTAAAATCGGCAATGACAGTAATTCAGACTGTCATTGTTCACTTTATCGGGCTGATAATTTTTAGCACAGGTCAAGCTTTTCTACGAAATAAGGAAGAAAGATGAAGTATATGCTCCTAGGGTTCTGGGAGGCATGGCCAGAGCACCTTACTACAGTGCTAAGGCTATCTCTGAGGTCCTCATACAGTAAAAAAAAAAAAAAAAAAAAAAAAAAAAAAATCCATACAAATTTGGATTCTACTACAAAGTCTGTTTGTTTTTTTTTTCAACGTGGGTGCTTGAACTCACAGCCCTGAGATTAAGACCTGAGCTGAGATCAAGAGTCAGATGGTTAACTGACTGAGCCCACCCAGACACCACTCAATGTTTATTTTAATATAAAAATGTTATAGCTTTTGATCTGTTATATGCTACCTGTTTGCCTTGGCCAAGTCATTTAACCTTCCAGGCAGTTTCCTCTGCTGTAAAATACAAATAACATTCCTATCTCACCCCTCAGAGTTGTTGTGAGAATTTGATGAAATAATGCGTGTAAAATGCATGCACAGCAAATGGCCAATGAATGGCAGCTATTATTAGTATTAATTTTATTCTCATCAGTTTAATTATTGAATTTACCCACAGATATTCCTTTCTTCCATGCATTCATGCAACAAATATTTATGGAAGGCTTACTATGTGTCAAACAGATGCAGCCTCTGCTATGCTCCTAAGGCTTTAGAAAGTTGCCTCTGAGTGCTGTAACTTCCAGTTCCTTCTGTTATCTAGCCCCACCCCCAGGAATCCTCGTTCCTGGGGTGAACAGCACAGTCATATGTCACAGGGCTAACACTGTGTCCAGCATCTAGGAGACACTGGATGCAGGGCTTAGCACCGGGGCAGCCAAGAAGACCATTTGGCTCAGGTCTCACTTTGTTGAAGGGCCTCAAAATTAAATTATTGCTGCTGCCTCCAGATGACATTATACATTCGCTGTATATTCAATACCTTAATTATATATATACACATATACATATGGTACATATATACAATATATACAAGGTACACTCATCAGACAATTTTATAACTCACATCCCAGAACCAGACCTCCCTGACTGTAAAGACCTATGAATATTTGCAATCTTGTGAAAAGTGTAATTATTCTTCACTATACTTCTTTGTGTGGGTGAAGAGCATGACGGTGTTAAATTTATGTATTTTAATGTTTTGAATATAGTAAAGAGTGGCCCGGGGAGAGACCTCCGAGAGACCCTTGCAGGCTTTCAACCTGGCCTGGACCTGAAGGGGCACTGGAGCCCAAACTGGGAGGGTGTCTGCTGAATCCCCTGTTCAGTTGCAGCTTGCCAAGTTCCGGCCCAGAGCCCGGCATGGTGACCTCCAAACATACCTACTGACTGGCTAAAGGTAGGCCTGTGGAACACCTGGGGCAGCTGGAAGTCTAGAATGGAATGGCTCACTCAGGCCTAATCAACCACAACTCCAGATACAACAGCTGTAGCCAGCCCCGCCTACAGGATGTCAGAGAAAGCAAACAGGCCTTGAGGACATGCCAATGGGGTGATGGAAACCCAGGCCTCCTAACCTTCTTTGGACCAGCTGCTTTGTTCAGGTGGGTTTCTGTTTTTGCTTTTGTTTGTGGAGTTGTTGCAGTCATTTAATTCCCTTTTAAAAAGCAGCTTCCCTCTTTGCCTCAGGGCAAAGGCCTCTGAGGCATCCCCTGCAAAGGCAGGAGGCTTTCCCTCAGCTAGGTAGGAGTTAGGACAGAAAGCTTTGCAGGAACCTTTGCAAGTTGTTCTCCCTTTTAAGGCACACACTGTTTACCTAGTGAATCTCCTTTTCTGCCTTCAAAGCACTTTTTCAGCACAAATCGGCAATGACACTAATTCGGACTGTCATTGTTAACTTTATCGGGCTGGATAATTTTTAGCACAGGTCAAGCTTTTCTACCAAATAAGGAAGAAAGATGAAGTATATGCTCCTAGGGTTCTGGGAGGCATGGCCAGAGCACCTTACCAGAGTGCTAAGGCTTTCTCTGAGGTCCTCGAACAGTAAAAAAAAAAAAAAAAAAAAAATCCATACAAATTTGGATTCTACTACAAAGTCTTTTTTTTTTTTTTTTTCAACATGGGCGCTTGAACTCACAACCCTGAGACATATGCCCAAGAGGCAAGCGACCCCTTAATTCTGAGGCCCTCACAGCCATCAATAAGAACAGGGTCATTGACTCAAAAAAGTAAAGATAATTCTAGGTACTTGCTTCCATTCCACCCCCCGACCTTATCTCAATGAATTATTTCACCAACCCACAGAGCAGGTTGGACAGATGAGAGGACCACAGCTCATGGCTGCTAAGAGTAGGGTTTGTATTAGAATTTGGCTCTATCTGGCTACCATACGATCCAGCAATTGCACTACTGGGTATTTACCCCAAAGATACAAATGTAGGGATCCAAAGGGATATGTGCACCCCAATGTTTATAGCAGCGATGTCCACAATAGCCAAACTGTGGAAAGAGCCAAGATGTCCATCGACAGATGAATGGATAAAGAAGAAGTGGTATATATACACAATGGAATATTATGCAGCCATCAAAAGTAACGAGATCTTGCCATTTGCAACGACATGGATGGAACTGGAGGGTGTTATGCTGAGTGAAATAAGTCAATCAGAGAAAGACATGTATCATATGACCTCACTGATACGAGGAATTCTTAATCTCAGGAAACAAACTGAGGGTTGCTGGAGTGGTGGGGGGTGGGAGGGATGGGGTGGCTGGGTGATAGACATTGGGGAGGGTATGTGCTATGGTGAGCGCTGTGAATTGTGCAAGACTGTTGAATCACAGATCTGTACTTCTGAAACAAATAATGCAATATATGTTAAGGGAAAAAAAAAGAAGATAGCAGGAGGGGAAGAGTGAAGGGGAGTAAGTCAGAGGGAGAGACGAACCATGAGAGACAATGGACTCTGAAAAACAAACTGAGGGTTCTAGAGGGGAGGGGGGTGGGGGGATGGGTTAGCCTGGTGAATAGTATTAAAGAGGGCACATTCTGCGTGGAGCACTGGGTGTTATGCACAAACAATGAATCATGGAACACTACATCAAAAACTAATGATGTGGGCGCCTGGGTGGCTCAGTCGTTAAGCGTCTGCCTTCGGCTCAGGTCATGATCCCAGGGTCCTGGGATCCAGTCCCACATCAGGCTCCCTCCTCGGCGGGAAACCTGCTCTCCCTCTCCGACTCCCCCTGCTTGTGTTCCCTCTCTCGCTGTCTCTCTCTCTGTCAAATAAATAAATAAAATCTTAAAAAAAAACCTAATGATGTAATGTATGGTGATTAACATAACAATAAAAAATTATAAAAAAAAGAATTTGGCTCTATCTGAAAAACAATAAAACACGCCCTTTCCCACCACCTGACGATTGGGCTTCTGGCTGGTGGTGAGTGCCAGTTACGCCAAGCCCTTTCCTTTTCCTGGGTTACAGTCCTCCCCTCCCATTGAGCTGGAAACTATAACTTCCAGCAGACAATGTAGATCAAGAATGCCTCCCCGTATCCACCTGCTAACTCCACCATCGGCTATTGCCAGGAAGCCCGAGCCGGCGTGTAGAGGAATAATTTTGGCAAAGTTACTGCATTTCACTTCCTGATTTGGTAAAGCCTGCCATCACCTATATTAAGGCAAACCCATGCCCCCCTGCAAAAACGGGGAAAAAAACCATTCCGAGGCAGCGAGACTCAGACCCGCAAGGCTGGTGACAGCAAGAAGGAAGGGTATTTGTACTAGGCGGCGTCAGATGATTCCAAATGCATTACCTTTCCTGAAAAAACGAAGGCTGATTAAAAGTCCCCCCTGTCTCAGGTTTAATCACTACTCACCGGGCGGTGTCTCCTCTAAGGCCCACCTATCTCAGGTTTCTGAGAAATGACTTGGACTCTCCGCGCAACCCGGAGGCACAGCCTCCTTCATTCCTTCCTCAACTCAGGAGCTGCCCGAGTGCGGCAGTGTTTTGCTTTCAAAGGCCACGATTTGATTTGCCAGGCCGCCTGCCAGTCAGAAGCTGGCGGGGACTTCGTGCAGGCGAGTGGTTGCGAGGAGTGGGTGGGCGGGACGGCCTCCGGCTATTGGCTGCGCCGCAAAGCTTGCTTGAAGCGTAGTGGGGCGCCTCGGGGCGGGGCCTCCCTCTCGAGCTTTGCGCTCACCTGGAGGGGATCCCCTCTAGTGGCCGCGCCAAGGACATTAGAACAACCCCGCCCCCGCTGCCTGTCCTGGAGAGCTCGGGTGACTGCTCACCTCCCCTGCCCGACAGGTGGGCAGCCTGCCTGGAGTCCATCTTCCAATTCTCAGCGCCACCTCCCGGGCTTTGCTTCTGCTGTTCCTCCACCTTATACTCTCACCATGCCTTCAAATCCTTTACGTCCCTCAAGACCCGGCTCCCCGCAAAGCCTTCTTGAGTACTCGGGGGGTGGGGTGGGGTGCATATACAATTCCCTTGCGGGCCCTCCCCTAACACCTGTTGGCTGCGCTATGTGCCAACCCTCCCAGCGCGTCCGCCGCTCCGCAATGCCTAAGGTCTCCTAGTGAGCCTAGCACTTGATGAGTGCTTCGGTAATGTACAACTGTATACAGTAAGCAATAAATGTAATCAACACGTGCTTGGAGCTTACACTTTTTCACTTACACGCATCTCATTTCAGATCCTCGCAATAACCCCCTGAGTGAGACTTTGACCTCATGCCCATTTTACAGATCATTTGGGCCCAGACCCCAAGGAGGAGAAAGAGCCAGTTTTGGTTCAGATCTGGAGGCAGAGAGAGCTCAGAGGGAACACCTGAGAGCAGAACGAGGTTGGCATTTCGTAGGAACTACCCAAAGGACAGCGTGGCTGGTGCAAGATTTTTCTGGGGCGTGGGGTGGTACGAGCTGCCATCAGAGGACGGGCCAGGGACAGAGGTTTGGATTCATCCTAAACTTATGCGGGGCCACTGCGCGTTCTGAGCAGGGGAGTGACAACTTCACTGTGACTGCTCTGAAGCTTGTAAAGGGGGGATTCAAGGAACACTGTATGTCTGTCCTTGTATCGTTGCCCGTATCAATCTTTTTTCTTTTACTATTATACACAGGGCTTGGATGAATGTTAGTCGTTGTCTTCTAACTAGGATTTCCTGATAGACAAAATTCTAAGGTTCTTGGTCTATCACAAGATATTTGAGGAGTCATTTAGATAACCCCCTATTAAGTTTCCACACTAGTTCTGATGTAATTAACCCGAACCCTAAAATTCTGGCAGTTTCCCTAAGGTTTTGTTTTTTGTTTTTTTTGGTTTGGTTGTTTTTTTTTTTTTTTTGAAACGCCTCTAACGATTGGCCAACAACTTTTCACTCTAAAGAAACAGGAAACCATTGGCTAGTTACTCAGGAGGCGGCCTAAAGGGGGACTCTAGAATGTTAGGCCGGTGGTTTCCATAGCGACGGGAAGGCTGGGTAACCCAGATTCAGCCCAGGGAGACCCAAAGAGGTAGGAGGCAGTTCCTGTCTGGGAACCGGTGGCAGGGTCGTGGGGAGGAGGACCTGCTGGGTGCGCGCTGGTTGGTGCTCCATGGTGGGAAGAAACCGCAGTCGGAGGTGCACCTCCCTGATGGTGTGCCCTCAAAGCCCCCACCTAAAGGGGTGCTGATTATCGCGGGGTGCCCTCCCCATGGGGCTCCTGTGAGGGGCGTGGCCACCTGAATCCCCTCTGCCTCTGCAAATATACACACAGATGGGGGCTCTGGTGCCGGGCAGTGGGTGGATGAAAAAGAGCTGAGTTCTAACCCTGGGTCCGCTCCGGTGGGGGGGAGGGGGGGGAGGGGGGGCGGGAGGGGAGGCTTAGCAAAATCTTCCCTGCCCTGCGCCTCAGTTTATCCATCTGTAAAATGAAAGGGTAAGATTGGAATTTAGTGGTCACTAGCCGGCTGCTAAAGCTCCTTCTCCCGGCTGCTAAAGCTCCTTCTCGCTCTCTGACATGCTTTCTTAGGTTCTCATAGGAAAAGTATGAAGTGGATTATTTCCCTGAGTGCGCTTTGAAAAATGTAAAATACTTTCAAGATGCACCATAGCATTTTGTATAACTGAATTGATAAAAATCTCATGTCCTCAAAACTGCTCATGCAAATACCGTAAAATTCCACATAAGGTAACAGTATACATGATTTGGTATGCGTTGACATACACTGCACATTGATATGCATGTATAAATGTATAAAATATGTGATAATACTATAACATAAATGATAAAGGGTTTTTTTTTAAACATATAGCAGAGTGGAAACACATTTGTATTTACAGTCAGGTGAGTTAAATCCTTACAGAATGTAGCTCCCAAAGGAAAGAGTTGTATTATGACTACATCAGTATGCATTATGGCTAGAATATATCTACCCCTGGTATTCATTCATTACACAGATGTTATTGAGTAACTACTATGTGCCAGGAAACAGACTGGGGATTTAGTGAGGATTCTATTCTTTTGGGGAGACCATAAACAAAGAAGTACATATAATATGTGATTTTGGGTAGTAAAAAGTGCATTGAGAAACATAAGGCAGGGTCAGGGGTAGAGAGAGAGCCGTGGTGCTCCTTAAGAGAGAGTGGCTAAGGAATACATCCCTAAGACAGTTTGATGAGAGACCCAGATGAATTTGATGACAGGGCCAAAAGATGATACCCAGCATAGGGAAGGAAAAAATCCCCATGCTACAAGGAGGAATTGCAGATGCTGAAAATGTCCCATGTCTTTAGGTGGTGGGATATGACAGCTGCCTTCAAATACTTGAAGAATAGTCATATACAACCGTGGCTTTCAAACTTTTTGATGTGACCCATGGTAAGAAATGCATTTTGGGCGCCTGGGTGGCTCAGTCGTTAAGCGTCTGCCTTCGGCTCGGGTCATGATCCCAGGGTCCTGGGATCGAGCCCCACATCTGGCTCCCTGCTCCGCGGGAAGCCTGCTTCTCCCTCTCCCACTCCCCCTGCTTGTGTTCCTGCTCTCGCTGTCCCTCTCTGTCCAATAAATAAATAAAATCTTTAAAAAAAATAATAAAAAAAAGAAATGCATTTTATATTGTGGTCCAGCACATACACACATGACAAAAACTTCGCAAAAGACTGTAGGCTGTGACTTGCGTTTTGAAAATCACCAATGCGGAAGAGGGGTGAGATTTACTCCAGGCTGACTCCAAGGGGTGGAGTCAGGATGAGTGAAGGGGCAAAAACATGAATCAGCTTTGACACAGGCAGGAACTTTCTAGTAACTGGAACTACCCACCAGTGAACTGCCTCAAGAATTTTCAAACTGAGTTCTGGGGAAGCCCAGCATTCTGTGAAAATTCGACGGCCTCAAATATTTGCTTTATATTTTGAAAACTGTGATGTAATTAACCCGAACCCTAAAGTGCTGGCGGGCTTCTGAAATTCTGAACCCTAAAAAACCAACCATATCCACTTAGGGCTGCCAAATGTCAAAACTGAGCATGTTAACATTTAGTGTTTGCTGCCTTAGCGGGTATGATATTGGTTAAGAGTGAGCAGAAGTCAGGCTTCCTAGGTTCAAAACCTGATTCCACCTCTTACTTCTGGTGTGACCTTGAGCAAGTCACTTAACTCCTCCCTCTAAACTTCAGTTTTCTTACCTATAAAATGAGGATAATACCTCACTGGATTGTTATAAGGACAGCATGAAGTATTCTGTACAAGGTATTTAAGACTGTAAGTTCAATAAATGATAGCTATCATTTTAAGCTGTTACTACATTATTCCTGTGCATGTGTTAAAACCTAATATTCATAAAAGCCTACTGTGGACCAGGCAGCAGCATCTACTTCATTATATGGATCATTGTATTTATTTATTTTTTTTAAAGAAGGATTTATTTATTTATTTATTTATTTTAATTTTATTCATTTATTTGACAGAAAGAGAGACAGTGAGAGAGGGAACACAAGCAGGGGGAATGGGAGAGGGAGAAGCAGGCTTCCTGCGGAGCAGGGAGCCAGATGCGGGGCTCCATCCCAGGACCCTGGGATCATGATCTGAGCCGAAGGCAGACACTTAATGACTAAGCCACCCAGGTGCCCCTGGGTCATTGTATTTAATCCATAAGCACCTTGAGAAGAAAGTACTGTTGTTATCATTCTCAGTTGATGGAGGGGGCAGTGGGCTCAAAAGATGAAGTAACTCATCTAGAATCAGAACTAGTAAGTGGCAGAGCATAACCTTGAACCCAGGGATACTCTTGATTTACTGTACAGGTGCTCACCTGGGAGTTGCTTGGACATATGCCATTGATAAGGAAGGTGGTATATCTTCATTACTCTTTTTCGAGATTCTAGGCCCATGACATCCTGTCATGAACAGTGACACGAGGAACTTTGCCAGTAGGGCACATTTGGGCAGTGCTCTGTTCACACCTGGGCTGCACCCGCTCTCATCCTGGCTTCACAGGTATGTATACCAACGCTGGAAAGCATTATCAATAGTGTTGTCTTTAGGTGGTAGGGTTGTGGATTGTTTTAGAAAGTTTTTTTAATTTCTTACCTTTTCCAAAAATTGATAAGGTGCCTATATCACCACTGTAATAGGAAGCTTAAAGTTTTTCTAATCACTTGTAGTTCTAACATATTAGTGCATTTTAATTTATCATTTATTTATATATTTTAAGATTTTATTTATTTTTTAACAGAGAGAGAGACAGCAAGAGAGGGAACATAAGCAGGGAGAGTGGGAGAGGGAGAAGCAGGCTTTCCCCCTGAGCAAGGAGCCTGATGTGTGGCTCGATCCCAGGGCCCTGGGATCATGACCTGAGCCGAAGGCATACGCTCAACAACTGGGCCACCCAGGCACCCTCATTTATTTATTTTTTAATTAAACTATTTGTTTGAGTGTAGTTGATAAACAATGTTACATTAGTTTCAGGCATACAACACGGTGATTTGCCGAATTTGAACATTAAGCT